TTCGTCACTCGCCACTTTCAAAACTGCACTTAAATCTGCTTTTAACCTCTAAAGTCAGTCATGTATGTTTTTCTTTCTTTCTTTTCATGTTTATTTTATTTTTTTTCTTACTGTTATGTCGTATATGTTCTTATTATAAATGCTTCTATTGTTTCTGTTTTTAACATGTAAAGTGTCTTTGAGTGCCTTTTAAAGCGCTATATAAATAAAATATATTATTATTTATTATTATTATAATGTCTTTATAGAAAGAGGCCCGCAGTTGGATTCAGCCTGTCAGGATATCAATAAGTAAGTATTTTAATAATACATAAGTAAAGCAACACCTCTGCACAGCCTACAGAAACCTTGCATTAACATAGAAATCAAACTCTATGAATCACTGTGAATGATTTAATGGAGCAGAGCACCATATGGCGAGGTGTCTCATCTGCATTGAAGGTGGCCCAACTGCCTTCTTCATTTTCAGTCGGCTTACAAATCTTCTTTTTTCGACAGCCTGTTCCTTCATCTGTTGCTCCGGACCTCCCACTCTTCTGTTCGTCCCCGTCATTCTCCCCCGTTTCCTCTCGCCCTTCATACACTCTCAACGCCGGGGCTGTAAAATGACTCTGACGATTGGATCCAATCCCCAAGAGGGCTCCCACACCTGGACACTTTTACAATATGCTCGCCTTCAGCTGCAGAAGCTTATAGCAGAGGTTCAGCAGCAAAGGCATGCTACTTCCCGACTGTTCCTTAATCTTGATTTATCCTACGTTCTCTCACCATCTCTGTGTGTGCGTGACATTCTCGATGACTCCATTGTGTGTTGTGGAGTGGGAACAGCGGGGATGGGATAGTTGTCCCTTTTAACCTCTATAGAGGGAAGAAAACAAAAAAACTTTCAGGCCGCAGTAAATCTCTCTGATTAAACCAGCTCCCTCTGACTGCCCTTCTTGTGTGAGACTGGACTGTGTATGCTTTCTGTCATCTGAAGGATGCTCAGACTGTTTAAAAAACAAAAAAAAAACTTCGAATAGCCATGGTAACCAACCCCCCCCTCTCAGTCTCCATGTCCAACACACACATTACAAGGGAATGTGTGGGTTGAACTCTGTAGTTGAGATTTCAAAAGCAGCTGTAAACGCCATCCTGACACAGGCTTGTGGCATTTTTTAATGTAGCCATACCTCAAGAAAGAATATGCTATTTCATACTTTTGTTAGCCATTCGTGTGGACACTCTAAACTGTTCCGTGTCCTCACTCTCAACTCGTCAAATGCGGCTGCTATGGCCCTACGCTTCAAACTATGACACTCCTCGTACCCCTCTAGTGTCACTTTTGCGTGTGTCAAATTGCCACTTGTCACATGCATACGCGCCATCTTTTCAAAATAAACTTCTGTGTTTACAGGAAACAACTTGGTTGGGTGTAGGAAAAGATCTGGGTGAGAAAAAGATTCATGGGGTTTTGTAAATGGCTGCGTGGAACATTGTATCCATATGACACAATGACACGGTGCACTAAACCCAACCTGGCGACAATATTAATTAGGTCATTTGTCATTTTCTTTGACTGTTAGTTAATGTAGACAGATGTATATTGGCACAGAACAGACACGCACACACACACACACACACGCCTTGGGGTAATAAATAACCCCAAGGCGTACACCACAATCTGATCACAGACAGATGGTACGTCTGATACGTGATGAACAGACAAGCTCAAGGCTCCAGACAGTCGTTGCTGCCCAGGTGCTTCCATAGCTGACTACCAAGTCACCGTGGCATGTCTCACAAGCCTGGTGTACTTTACATTGCGTTGCTTGGCAATGTGACAAACTTTTTTTTTTGTCCCTGCCTGTAACCTCTTTCCTTTGTTGGTGTGCTGCTGATGCCCTATATTTGTTTAAAGAAGCAAATGTGTGTTTTCTGCTGTTTGCACTATAGCCGGCTCCAGGGTAACTAGTCTGGAACGAGTTCTCAGGAGTGAGAAAGTCCGACTTCATTCATGGCAGCCTGGGCACTGGGCTCAATTATTTCCCTCTGTCATTAGTGGGAAAGAATAGCCAAAGGATTAATTAAGAGCGGATCCATTTTGCATAATGTTTACAGTGCATCTGCTACTTCGAGTAATATCAAGGCTTTAATGTTATGGTGAATTTCAAGCGTATTTTTCTTCCTTAAATGGATAGCAAGCAACTTGGTATTACATTTTGGTCAATAATAGTAATTTCAAACCACATTCAAAGTCTGCTCCTGGCTTTATAAGGATGTGTATTAACCCTCTAATGGGGATGTGAATTCACCAGTTTGTGTGTATGTGTTCTTATGTAGGATGAAGGTAAAAGTGTGTGTGGAGGCCAAATAGTCGGGGCGTGTGTTAAGTGTGTATTTTGGGCAGCTGCTGCTGATTGCTGAGGCCCTCAGTCTAGGGGATTACAGCGCGCACACAGACACACACACACACACGTGCACCCACATTTCTATTCATGCCTGGGGTCAGTTATTCTATCACAGTCTGCAACCCCCCCCCCCCACACACACACCGAAACATTCAGACACATGCAGCGTACTGGTTCAGATCCATAAACTCTTGAAACAGGAGGTAGGTAGTAAATCACCGGGCTTTAGGAGTCAGACGTTGTGATCTCACTGTAGAGGATATTCAGAGTAACGCTGGCCTTTATTTCCAGGGGATTGTTTAAGTATTCACAGAGCTTACATTTCACATCCACACTGTTGTCAGAGATATTTTAGTTCTTTACTGAAGATAAAGGGAACGAATGAGATCTATTTTGCTTCATACGCTATATACTGTAGAATACTTTAAAATGCAACGCCCGTCAGGTTGCTCTTCTCCTGGTTGGCCAATAAAGTTTGTTCAAAATAGAGTCAGTGTGCTAGAAGTTTGTATTCTAATACATCAAAATGTATGAACAAGCGTAGTTTCACACTTGGCCGGCTGGTGAGTGTTCCAGCTATTGAACAGGCTTCAACACATTTAAAGGTCAGGCCTACATCATGTTTTATAAGTAACGGTAGACATTTTCAAAAGGTACAGTTTGACATTTTGACAAATACACTGATTTGTTGAGAGAGTTAGATGAGAAGATTGATCCCACTCATCTGTTCGTTATATATCAAGCTACAACCAGCAGCCATTAGCTTAGCATGAAGTCTGGAACCAGAGAGAAACAGCAACCCTGTCTCTGTCTAAAGCAAATTCTCATCTGCACACTTTGTTTTTTGTACAGATTAAACAAACAAGGTATAAATGTGCAACATTTTAACTGTGTCATCTTTGGGCTGAGATAGGCTAGCTGTTTACAGTCTTTATTCTAAGCCAAGCTTACCAGCTCCTCCCTGTGGCTTGAATCTTAATATTTAGCTGGCTTCAAGAGCGCAAATAAGCACATTTCCCTTTAAGAGGAAATGGCATCTTTGCTGTCATATGGTCCGTCTCTCTTGTCGTTTCCATTGCAATGTGCTAGTGCTTGGTGTCAGGCCTGCTAGCTTTTCTCTTCTGCCATCACCCAGCTCTCCTCTCTCTCTCTTTTTTCTTCTCTGTCTCTCTCTCCATCCCCCCCCTCTTGCGCTCTGATGATGAAGCGCTTTTAGATTTGCCCGTTAATAATGCATGTTTCTTATTCCCACTCGTCCTTCATTTTTCTTCATGTTTTCTCTCTCTCTCTCTCTCTCCCCCATCATCCTCGCTCGGCCTCTCCTGCCGGGGTTTTCTGATGTCACGGTGCGTCCCTGTCTTCTTTCATTAACATCCTTCTCATCTGCCTTTGCCCTCTCTGGTCTCAGTTCAGCTTGGTTCAGTTCAGTCCTGGTTATTAAATTCATTCAATCCTACTTAGTACATTTAAACGTCCGGGTAAACTTACTGAGGTTTAGGTTGATTCCAATGTGCTGATGTCAGACATTGACAAATAATTTTCCCTTTTTTCGTTTGCCTCTCTCTTTCTACATCCATCTGTTTCCATGGTAACGGATCATGGCGTGGGGTTGGGTTGGGCCACTGGTGTGCCGCCAATCTCAGTCGCTCAGTGACAGCAGCTACTCGCCCGTGTCGTCGTGGGGAGTTCAAAGACCCCCCCTCCTCGTCTTTTTGCATTACCCGACGAGTTCAAACGGCTCGACCTCGGCTCATTAATGGCCACTGGAATAATCTGGCGGTCTTTCTCCTCTGAGCTCGCTACACACTTGTCATGGCCTCACCTCTAAATGGGCCGCCGTTCTTTGTCTGTCACATTTGTTTTGCTAATGTGAGATGAATGGAGAGACTCTCTGGAGATTATGATAATGCATTCACGGTCACGAAGGGAGGGCCGTTTGCGGGGGGGTGGGGGGGGGGGCACTGTTTAATTTGTGTGTCCCCTGCTGGAGGTAAAAGTAATAAAAAATGACTGGAGACATTTTGGTTATTGATTGAACGTCCTTGTGTTCAGCAAGACATTCATTTACTGAGTATTCCCTGGAGAACTCGGAGGATGTGCCCATGTATTCATGTTGTGCTGTGTGTGTGTGTGTGTGTGTGTGAGACACTGGCCTCTACTGATGAATGGATTCAAGTCTGTTAGCTTTGAGAACCTAATGTATCCCTTTGTCCCAATTATATTTTGTCTACTCCATTTGGCTGCAGCCAAAGACTTCTGTTCTCTCTTAAGACTTTTAAACGTTGCATCTTTGTACCAACAGTCATACAAACATGTAATTGAAGTGCTCGTCCTGATGATCCTGATTAGGTAATGGGAGAATGCCGATCCAGTTTACATGAATGTAAGCTGCGCAGGACTTTAACCTAACAATTTATTTTCCCAAATGAGTTATAAAAAAACCATCAGTGCATAATATCACCATAGATAAAGTAGTAATAGTTGCAGTAGCACATTATTTTACGATTGTATAAGATTTTGCAATCTGGTGGTATGAGGTTAGTCCAGTGGGAAAGGATTTTCTAATTATGGCACCATTAATGTCTGTGCGTCTCCTTCTCATTGTTACAGGTTTGAATCACCTCCTTGAGACGGGCAGCGGCTGAGATTAAATCCTCACAGGTAAGTCCGATATTGCCAGTGACTATTCTCGCTGTGCTTTACTACTTTATCCATTATTTTGTCCTTGGTCTCATTCTGCTTTTCTCTGTGGTTATTCTCTGCTCCTATGTCGGCGATTCTCCCTTAAACCCCCAGACCTCCTGCTGTTATATATTTTTTGATCACAGTTTTGGCTGATTGCATATCTGGCCATGTGCATGTGTCCCAGTGGTGCGAGCTGTTGATGCTGTGTTCAGTATCATCCTGAGAGGATTACTGCGTTGTTTGCTTCTGCACTAAATGGTTGTACTTTATGACTGTCACTGACATCACTACAAACATATTTGTGATTGGAAGAACACTGGAAAGGCATTTGATCAGGTTTTCAAACCATGGCTGTACTTCCAATAAGAACGGTCAGTTGGCATGGTTGAAAAGTGTTGAGTGTTGAGGCGTGACTTACAGCTGGCAGTGACTAATTGATACCTTTTTCCAGTCTTGGTTGAGCCCTCTTGGTGTCTGCAGGTGTTAACTCAGCAAAGTACAGTAGCTTGTTGCAACCTCCCTGTGGTTGTGATTTAAGTGTGTGGTTTAGGATTTTAAGCTGGTTTTCTTGCCTTGTGGCAGGTAAAAAAACAGTACATTTATTCAGATGCGGGAATTAACCCATGAAGGAAGTGAAAGAATATTAATGAGTACAGTAGATGTGGTGTCACTTTGGGCCCATGGTTTAAAAATTGTTCCGTTAGTCGAAGAGTATAAGATCAATCTTTTATTCAGCCAACTTGCTGCCAAAACACTTTGTTTCGGAATACAATGAACCAATGGACTATATGAATACCCAGCATGTATTTGGTGTGAGGACTGTGTTTAATTGTGACTGGAAAAAAAGGAGCTGCAGGTGACTCACCTGCTGACATGTCCACACACTGTCCACACACACGGAGAGAGTGCACAGATGCTGTTGAACACACTCGGGCATAATAAATGACATAAAACTGCAAATTTCTCTGCATTGTTCATCTATTTCTAGAAATAAATATGGTCCAAAATGAAACCTCAAGGATACACACAATGGATTTTGATGAGGAATAGTGAATGTAAACGTTTTGTTTGCCAACAATAAAACTCCACACATAACGGGCCAGTAGCACACAGCATGCTGCATCTGCCTTGTGGAAAACCCATAATAGTTGTCAATAGGGAGCTATGTCTTAGTAAGTAGAGCAGGCGCTGCAGCGCAGTATTACATAACACACCACTACAATGTTTCCACCTCTCATTTCTAGCACTGCTACCTGAATAGCCCCATGAGAGCACTCGACAATATCGCACTGATCCATAATTTTAACAGCGAGTCATTATAACGGCAGTTTATTCTACAGAAAAGTGATTTGAATTCAGTAATTGTAGGTTGTGATGATGTACCTCCTCTCCTCACCCAGTCTTTGCCCTCCTCCAGCTTCCCCTCTCCTCCTCCATCCTCATCTATACGAGTAATCCTGATGAACAGATGGGCGGAGGAGAAATAAACAGGGGCATGCCAGCTTGTTGCCGTAACGTGTCGATCAGTCCCCTCCCCCGTTACCATCCCATCATGCACTTTTCTCTCCCGTCAACATTTCAGCCTGATCTACCTCAATCTCCACCCCTCACACTGTCTCTCTTTTATCAATCTGTCCTTGTATTTGTCCCGCAAGCCCTGATGGTGTTGTTGCCGGTCCATTGACCAGTCTCTCTTACCTTTTCACCACCAACTACTGGCTAGATTGGCATACAATTTACTGTGCACTTTCGGTACTCCATGAGGAAAAACTTTAAAAAGGAGCTGTTTAAAATTCTGAACATTAATATAGCAGCAAACAACTATTTGCCATGTCAAGATGTAGTGGAGTAATAACTACCTGAGTCTCCCTCCCTCTGTTTCTTTTTATCCGAGCTCCTCCTGGCTTTGTTGACCTAGCCGGGCTGGTCATGGCTGCTTTTAGTGCACGTGCGTGCATGTGAGCGTGCCCCACTCATATACGGTTAAGGCTGATAACTTGCACCTTTTAAATTTATAACCCTACAGTAGGCCCTAAGAATAATAACATCAGTATACTGAATGTCCCATACACTGCTTTTGGGGGATGAAGCCTCTAAACAAGGACTTCAGTATTTGATCAGGCCTATAAATGGAAAAGACGTGTGGAAACATCAGCCATAAAGACATAACTGTCTTGCCCTGAAGGACACACAAACACTTATACAAATGCACAGAGACACACAGCCACGTACCAAGGCCACGTGCATCTATCTGCTCATCAATACCTTTTACCTAGCGATAGCACCCAGGAATACCAATGAGACTTGGCTGGTTTACAAGCCCAGCTGGATTTATGTGGCCTCTGCAACAGTGTCACACTGTATTAGAATGGGACAGACTATTGATTTTTGGTCCTTTTATATATTTGCATGGTTTAGCCCATCAGCTCCAAGTTTTTGTGTGTGTTACATATCACTGCTGAATAGCATCTAAAACATATTGTACTTGCTATATATTGTGAAGATACAAAGTCTAGCTAGAGTTTAATGCTATTACAGCCATTGGTTTCTGGCTTGGTTTCAATTAACAAGGGTATAAGAATTAAACCCCGGCACTGGATCACTGGACGTTTTGCATTACTCAAGTCAGAGTGATCTGCTCTATTGTCTGTGGCAGGTTGATGTAGTTGAAATTACATTTATGTAAAATGCATTGATGCAACACATGTTTTTACACCCATTTCTCAGTTTCCACTTAATGAATGAATGGCTATATAGACAATTATGGGACACCAGATTCAGTTTGTAATTTTAATTCCATGTACACAAAATTGTACATACAGTAAATACACAGACACACTCAAATACACCCACACACACACACGTAGCCAGCATAGCCCTGTGCTCTGGCTGAGCCCACAGCTTTTGATGAGATGACCTTAGACAGGCGAGACATGTGCTCACACACACACACACACACACACACACACACACACCCAACACCTAACCAAGCCCCCGGCAGCCAACAAACCGGTCCATACGCCTGGCAAAATGTGTGCAACTGTCCAAATATCACAGCCCTATAATTGGATGTCAGATGAAGCAAATTTGAATGGAAGCTATCAGTAATGGCTTTTGATGAGTTACACATGGATGGGTCCAGTGCTTTGCTTTTGAGCAAAATCATTCCAGTTTAATCTCTTGGTTTAACAAACTCATAATTAATAGTATTTAGAATTTATATTGGATGACCATTGCCTATGTTTTAGATAAACGCATAACCTTTGTTTGTAGTTATAGTTTAGAAATAGGTTACTTAGGAGTGAGCTTTTGGTCAAAGCATGCAGTGCTGTATCAGGCTGGGGGTGTGACCTTATCAGGTGAAGTATCTGTCCCATTTTTCACCTTTTCAGAGAGAGTGTGCCTGGAGCGAAGCTATTAAGATTCAGTTCATGGAACTGAATCTTAAACGTTTCCTGAAAAAAGAAAGATGGGAACAGGAAATGACCATTAGATACTTCTTAGGTTATTCATATCAGGAGTGCTGGGGGTTGCATGGGAACTCACTGCAGCAGGGTTAAGTTATTTATGGGTGGAGGGCCCAGCAGATCTTCAGCTTTGGTTGTCACCATTACCACAAACTCTAGCTTGTGTAGTTCTATATTTCACTGTTAATCTATAGAATTACACACAATGACATTACATAGATAAGTATAATAAGTATGCATTCACTTATGCAGGTGATACTGCCCCGTGTTTTTAGGAATCTTGTGCTCAGAGCAGAATTGGTTCAAAACAAAAGCCTTTCCACCATGCATTCATACATCTTCTTTTCTATCATATGTCCTCTCTGTATGTATGTATGTTCTATGCATGCTTGGACTGTGGGCATATTTTTTTCATTCCCAGAGGCGTCACCTTGCGCACCCCTGCCATTTCAGCGTTATCCCCGTGGTCAACAACATGAAGGACAATGGCCCCCATGGGGTGGTTGTGGAGTTGCGGACGGTGATGGGTGGGGGCATGCTGACCATCAGCACTTCACAAAGCTTCAGAGAAAAGCAGGCGCTGGGGGATTCTGCGGATGTTGCTAGAAAAACTGACCCCAAAAAGGGAAAGCCCTCTGTGTGTATGTGTGTGCAAAAAGAGGCTGAGATAGTTAGTACTGATTAGGTGGCTGTGTGTAATGCCATTTGGGGGCTATTGGAGACAAAGAGACTGTCCTTTCACTGCACAGAAGTGGTGTTAGTGTAGTGAAAGCTCCTCTTAAAATAACTTCCAGTGTAGTGGATAGCTTCCGATGAAGCCAGCAGTTAAATCATGAGGCGATCTTAAATTAAACAGTTGTAGCCTGTCACTAAAGATCTGCTGGTTTCAATAATGACAAGGAAACCTGGCGGAAGTTCTTTTGAGTAACAGTTAAACTGCTTACTGTCTGTAACGCATACAGCATCTTCCCTGGGTAAAAAGGACATATTTGGTGCATTCTGTGTATATTTTACTGAAAATAAAACTACACCAGTCATGCAAGTATGTCATTACGTCACCCTCACTAGAAGTTATTGTCTTTATTTGCGATAAACTCCAAACCTCACCTCTGCATTTCCCAGATTCAAGTGTTTTTTCAACACCTTTCATAACACCCTGTATAGCTTCACTTTAGCTCCAGAGTGCTTTATTCCAATCCCTCATATAATGTTTCTTCTTACCTTTTAAAAAGGTATGGAAGGTAACATTATCCACCTATTGTCTGCAGCACAAATGTGCTTCAGTAAATAATACTTAACTTGGTCAAAAGATATGAAACATGCATGAATAATGGCCCATATTAAGGGGGATAAGTGAGGCACTGCTCTTGTTTTCCTTTTAGATCAAAAAGTCTAGTCAAGGCTTTGCCCCGAAGAAGTAGGGCCATTTTCTCCCCTTACAATGGGCTTTGTTCATGGCAGACTGGTCGCTTGATGGGGGTTTGTCGAGGAGGAAGATAGAAAGAGAGCAATGAGGAACCAGAGACAGAGCAGTCGGGCAATAAAGTTATCAAATTGACAGATATAGAGACAAGGAGTGATAGCAGGTTGGGGTTTTCAGCTCTGGGTGAGCCCTTTCTTCATGTGTTTACAGAAAGGACTGGTATGTCAGCATGTCTTTGTGTCTCTCCTGGTGTCCAATACGTCTCTGCCTCGAATCCACTGGCATTGTAATACATGTTGCATTCCTTCTCTACAGACACTAGAAGCTCCAACCTTATCTCGTGTCTTGTTGTACGTATATATGAATTTAAAGCTGCTATAGTCAAAAAGAAAGAGGTTGGAGATGGTGATGAGCTCACCGAAGTATCAGTAAAAGTCTGCTCTTTCAAATGTCAGCAATGAAGTGGCAGCTACGTTGGCTTCACATTCAGGCTGAAGCTTCCCTTCCGTGTGTTTGTGGGGACTCTCATGGCTCACAGCTCCTATTCTAGTGACCTGGTTTACTGGAGACACTCGGACTGTGTGGAGGCCATTGCAGTTCAGAGTAGTCTGGTTAGTGTGTTATGATGCATGTGCTTGATGTCTACCCAAAGGAGTGAAATTTCAGCCTGCTAAAAAAATACAACCGATGCAGGTTTTAATTTCTTGTCAGAGTGCAAGTTTCACTTTACAATCAGTCTTTTGCGCTCCAGTCCACTATGGCTGGAAGCGGTCCGACTCAGAGTCTGTTGCCTTAGAAATATCTCAGTCACTGGAATCTGAGGTGACTGCATATGACTGTGTTTTCACCCCCCCTCCCCGTTTGCCTCCCCCCTCATCTGTCTACTCAGACTGTCATGCCTCAGTGTGACTGAGGGCTGCGGAGTGACCAACTTAGCACGTTGCTTCAGGGTTGGCAAACTGAGAGGCAGGAAGACTGTTGGGTTTATGTCAACACGCTTCACGTCATTCTTTGTGGTTTGGGAAATGTTCGCTCTGGTTATGTATTGAATATCCAAAGTATTTAAAGTCCTCCTCATCTTTACGGAAGATATCTAGTGACTTCTTTTAGAAAGAGCAAATACTAGTTCTATATATATATATATTTTTTTTAACTGAGCTCAAAACAGCTGGCTGAATGGACTTGTTGGTTTTAACCGTTATTAGAAAACCTCTCCAAGAAGATCCAGGAAGTCAATGTGTGGTGGAAATAGGAACAGAAAGTGGATTAAATCAAAAGCGTAGCTGCTGTACGTCCTCGCCACTGAATTAGGTTTTCATAAGCACTTATATAACGGTCGTGTGGCACAGTTTTATGGCGTTCCGTATGGGAGCAAGCAACATTGACTCATCCATTAAATGAACACTCGGTATATCATTGCACACTCTCACCGTTGAGCTTGAAAGGAGCGACAGAATGCGTCATCTTTTGGGAGAATGTGTGAGGATAAGGGTTTTGCCTTTTCTAGGGCAGAGATGTAGGACTGGGTCGTGGACGTCTGCGAGGATAGAGCAGAGCTGGAGGGCGACTCTCTGACCTCTGGGCTCTGACCACTGAGTCAGAGAAGAGAGGGAAAGAGGAGGATGAGAGGTGACCTGCCCACTAGACAAAATGTCATCCCACTCATCCTCCTGTGAGACCTCTTTGTCATCATCTTTGTTTTTTTCTGTGAGGAAATGAGCAATGGGAAATGATTATTACCCAGTTAGCTTAAGGATGGATGTTCAGCTGTATATGTGTGAATTGTACAGGGTCTTTCATTGGATAATATTACCTCCAGAGGAATGTCTTCCACCACACAGTGCAGTACAGCTTGGATGATTTTTTTTATGAGAAATTCCTTCAGCAGGCTTAAAAAAACACTTTGTAGAATTCTGTACGGTCAAACGGGTACAAACGTGTTTTGTCCTCTTCACTTAAAAAGGTCAAAAGTTCAGTTTTATGGTGCATAATCATGCTAATCCCAGGCGGTAAGAAATTCATAACCTGGATGTCTACGCAATTTATGCCAGTTATCACTCAGTGACATTCTAGCTGTTGAACTATGGAGATGTTGACATTTGCACATGGCATCTTATTTTACGTACGGGTCCGTGCTTGGGGAGTCATCTGTGTTGTCTACTGATTTTTTTAGTTTTACCCCCAGGCAGATAATCTCTCACTCTGTATCGCCTCCGCTGTATCGCCTCTCTGGAATTGTGACCCAGGTCGGGCTTAAAAACAGACAGACATTTATATTGCCATGTTGGGGGGAACTAATTACTTTGTATATATAAGTAGCTGACCAGCACCTCTAAAGGCCTCTTATCAACATGATGCATGTTGTTTAATCTGTACGAATACCAAAAAGTAATGGTCTCAACTGTCCGCCAGAAAGCCAATAGGCGTATTACCCAAAATGTCTAACTTGTTTTAAAAGTAATTTCTTTTTTTTTGCAATTTGTTTTCTGAATTATTACAAACCAATGATTGAAATCCGCAAAATAAAATCTCTCAAATATTCATATAGGCCTCAAAAATCCAGAATTGTTCGGGCCTTACTTCAAAAAGGACAAGACGCGTAAAGCAATTGATGCTGCATTTCTATCACACTCTTCCCTCAGGCTATAGAATTACTTTTTCCCATTCCTCCCCATCCTCTGTAATGTTTTAAACATCTTCATCAGTGTTGAACATTCATCAATTTCCATCATCCATCTCCCCTTTTCCTTTTTGTCAATCAATACTGAATCTGAAGATGGGCTATTATATTTGCATGATACCACATTTTGCCTTTTTCACAATTAGATTAGAAGAATTAGCATGCATGGCCGGCATTTAATGCATTGAGTGCAAACCACTGTGTTGCTCTCTCTCTCTCTCTCTCCCTGTTGTCTTCCCTCTCGATTAACTAGTGAGAGCAATATCCAATATGATGTGTCGCCGTAATTAGCTGTGTCCTGGGGTTGTATTAGCTCACACACTCTGCCTAGCTCAGCTATATAAAATCTGACACACTACTCTTTGTGTGTGTGTGTGTGTGTGTGTTCATTACCATGCTCGCCCTATGTCATCAGACATGCTTCCTCTCCAGCAGAGAAGAGACGTACCGGGCCTGAATCTAAGCTTAATAGTTTCACCTTCAAATGCCTCTGAAGACTTCAACCCCCTGTGTATCTCTGTGTGTGCGTGCGTGTGTGCGTGCATGCGTGCATGCTCTGCTTGTGTATCCACATGTTTGTGTGCTTATGTGCAAAGATGCATGTGCTAGTCATGCATAATGAAGATGTCAGGGGTGGACTGAGCCATTTACCTGACAGCAGCACACTGCTCCACCTCGAAATCCATCTCAGCCTGCTGACAGGAGTTACTGTCACCCTTTGGCGGCTGTGATTCAACCGCTCATGCAACGGAAAGAAATTTGTTTCGGCCAGCGCTTAAAATGAAGGTCTAGCCTGTCAAAACATAAAAAATGTGCAAACGCGTCGAAGACGGAGACATTCATCAAACACATGATATGCACAGCAGTATCTTGATGCCATTGGTCCAGTGATGTAATACCAATTTGCCAATAAATTATTGCCGGCTAATGTACACGTGACAGAGGCTCGCGCACTGCAAGACAGAGCACATTAAAAAGGGAAAAACAAATGCCATTTTCAGCTCCCCATGGTGCAGTTTACAACGTGTGACTGCTCGAACTGTGTCTTTATTTCTTACGGACCACGCAGCAGAAGCTAGCGCTTTTGGGCCTGCACTCATGTGGAACTTGATACACATGACACACTGACAAAGATGCATTCACCAATGCGGTGGGTCTGTGCATGCATGTGCCACTCCGTGTACATGCTGTATATGCAGCAGAGTTGTGAGTGTTCCGGCCGAGCGCACTCACATGCCATACGTTTACAGGCAAAACACGTGGAAGGCGGGGCATCTCAGTGGCCCACAAGGAATGTTCTATTCATCAGCGGCTATCTCGTCTTGAGAACAGTTATGACCAAATATATCTTCAAAGAATGCCTAAACATACGAGTCTGTGTCTTATTTGTATAGAACATAGGGCTGACAAGTGCAGGCTGCTTCGGTTGTTTAATTACAAATACTGCGTAAAGTTTGTTTGGACTTTTCCTCTTGCCAAAGTCTTTCCGTTAGCAGGATGGCAGGCTATCCAGCAGACGAGCCACTTGTGATCTGTGACGTACAGACCCTATAGTTTGGATGATGAAAGTAAACTTTCCATTGTGGTTCAGACTAAATATTCAACCCAAATCTTTCATTTTTATGGACTGATCTTATATACATTGCACATTTTGAGACTTGGTAGTTATGTAGTCGAAATAAAAGACATACTGTTCGAGTGACCCATGAAGTAATCTGTTCTTTTTTGTTGTTGTACCTCTCTGTAGTGCGGATCCAGACTGCTACACTTCTGTAGACCGGCCTGAACGCGTTGTTGAATCTGGGCAAAGGGTTTTCATCCCGACACACCCGACCATGGACAGGAACAGGAAGTGGGTGCCGAGCTTCGGAGCCGTGCTATTGATACTCTTGAGTCACATGACCTCAGCACTGGAGGTGCCTCTTGATCGTAAGTAGTGTCCCCATCACATCAATGTCACATTCACTGTAATTACCCCAATAGTAAATTCTGAAACCTTTTTTTTTTTTTTACCAACTATTCCAATTGCATCAACACGTACATCAAGCTCTATGGAGAACTGTAATGGAAATTACACTCGAAGTTTTCATATTGTGGTGCATAATGAAGAACTTTACAGCTTCTATGGGCCACGAAAAGGGGTTTTAGAGCATCTGCAGACTGAGCAGCAGTTTACTGGTTTTCCTCTCTGCACGTTTTATACATCACACATCCTGTGTGACATTATGATGTCTTCAAATACTTTTCTTGCATTGGTTGCACCTGCCTAATGAAACTGAAGCTATATTCACAAAAAAAGAGGGAAATCCTATCTCTAGCGAACGTCGGGGCAGGCTCAATAACATGCTTGAAAGTATTTCAATGTGTAACTATTTCACCTGCCTTACTTCTTGCAAAAACTAACACCTTTCCTCAACATTCTATCACTGTGGTACGGCGTGTCACGCTGGACAAAAAGCTAAAGTACTGGAAGGATGTAAGTTGTTTAAAAAAAAAAACCTGCCGTGACTTTTAGTGTTAAGTTCTTGCACTTAAAACTTTTGCGTTTGTGTGTTCTAGCAATGTTAGATGTGCATGCGGTTATCTCAACGCTGTTACTGTGTGAAGTGACTTGCTTATTTTGGAGTGGTGCTTGGGTTATGTCAGATCGTGGACTGGTAAGACGCTATCAGATCAGATAGCAGTTTGCAGCTAAAGATGTTGTTGCACCAGATTGTGTGAATGCTTCTTGCATGTTGCTTGCATATGCTCGATGCTGTAATTCAGTGTGCTGTGTTAAGGTTTCACTCTGTGTGTCTTGAACTGTGGCTTTATTCATGTTCCTCCAGTGCCTCAACCCCCCACTATAACGCTACAGTCCCCGAAGGATTACATCTTTGATCCGCGGGAGAACATCGTCATCCACTGTGAGGCCAAGGGGAAGCCTCATCCCAGGTGAGACGATCACTCCTCCCATCCCATTGATGCTTGTTTATCCATCCCCAGTCGCCCACTACGCTAGTGTATTTCCCTGGTTGCTTTTCCAGTTAACTGTGTAATTGAGGGACAAAAAGCTTGTGAAATGATACGACCTGAGAGTTTCGGCAGTTGAGAGCAAACCGATTTCCATTCACTTTTATGGTCCTCTCTGAAATTATAGATTTGGCCAAGTTAAAATCCGGCCAAACTCCCTCCTACGAGATCAGTGATTGCAATCAGTCTGCATGAATAGACCACAATGCATCTGTGGCGATTTGAACAAACATGCTAAAAACTGTGTCATTCCCTCACTTTTGTGTTTCTTCGTGGCACCTGACCTCAAAAATCAAGCGATCGTTGTCGTTCTTGTTGATCCTAGCTTTTCGTGGACGAGAAACGGGACTCACTTTGATGTTGAGCAAGACTCCAAAGTCCTGATAAAGCCAGGTTCGGGAACTCTTGTCATTGACATCAGCGGGGAAAAGGCTGAGGCCTATGAGGGAACGTATCAGTGTACGGCACACAATGAGCATGGCACCGCTGTATCCAACAGCATTGTCATCAGACAGTCCAGTAAGACTTCAGATTTATTTTCCATTATTTACATTTTCTAAATTAGAATTGATTCTAAAGGCTTGAGCTCCAACAACAGCATTATAAGTAATAATGTTTCATTTTTTTTTAATCAAGCTTTGATTCCTAGTATCCAGCTTCCACAAAATGCTCAATCTCATCGCTTTTGCAAATATGAATCCATGTGATGCATACCATGTGTGAAGCTACTGTACTGGGGGAGCCTCCAGTGCCTTTGTTTGACGTTTTTGTGACTCGCAGGGTCCCCCTTGTGGTCGAAAGAGAGAAATGAGGCAATCGTGGTGCAGATGGGGGTCTCCCTGGTGCTGCAGTGCCGACCCCCTGCGGGGCTGCCCCCTCCTGTCATCTTCTGGATGGATAATAGTGAGTCATTTGCATGTTTACATATCTGCACACATGGACACAAGGACATAACAATCTCACACTCAATTTTTCCATCTCCGTTCTTCAGATTTCCAGAGGCTACTGCTGGATAAGCGAGTGTCCCAGGCTCTGAACGGAGACTTGTACTTTTCCAATGTTCTTCGAGAAGACACCAGGAGCGACTACATCTGCTATGCTCGCTTCCCTCACACACAAACCATCCAGCAGAAACAGCCCATCTCAGTCACCGTGGTGGACAGTAAGTCAAGACACTGGATTAATTCAATTAAATGTTACTTACGTGTATAATCTTTCTTTTTCCATTGGAATACACATGTATTTTCAAAACGTTAACACCAATTGTCACAATGTATGTAGTTAAAAAATGAAACTTTACTTGCAGATTTGAGTATTGGATGTCTGATCATGCAAACTTTCATTCAAGATTTTCGCTTGTTACAATCCCTTTTATTTCACATTTATAGATATTTCTTCATCACATTGTGAATAATGGGATCTTGCTTTACTCCCGTTTCAAATCCACGTGTTGCTCCTGCAGAACTGCATTAGCCTTAGATGAATGCTTCTGCTGTTCTTCCCGTATTCTACCTTTCCTGAGCTTAATGAAGTGCTTCTAGCAATAGAACAATTGTCACAATATTAGAACTGTAGTGTATTTACAATGCATTATTTCCAAGCTAATGCATTAGTTTATACATTGTAAAGTAACACATTTCCTGTTTTCTTTCCTAGTTTTGCATGCTTATGATTTTCTGTTGTATTACAGTGGAAACAATGAATGAGACTGTGGCTGCTTTGTACAATGTCACTGATTTCTGTAGTGGTGAGTGCTGCTGGTTTATTCCCATTCAGCCCCCCTCAGTGTGAACCCAGCCCTGCTTCTACTCCCAGGCCTAACCGTACCCAACATACACACTCACCTCAACCCCCTCCTCTGTGACTATTACACTCTTCCTGGGGATTCTCTCATTTAAATTTGTTTCTTTTGCAGTGTTTCTTTATGCAAATGAAGGGTCTAAAGATATATATATATATATATTTTTGGTCAATATAAATGCAAATGCCTTGACTGTAATGCATGATACAATACTTGTCACATGGCAAAACAGCAATGTCCATAATAATCGCCTCTGTATGCAGATAACGTATTAAAGCTTAAAAGCAACCTTCAAAGCATGCATGACATTAAATGTCAGCTCACTGCATCTTCCCTGGAATCTTCAATACACTTTGGACTGATCTCATGATCTGCTACATCAAGCACACCCTCAATAATTATCCAAGATGGCCACACGTGAAGCATGATATTAGTATTCTGATATGACATTGACCTTTCTCCACCTTTTTGAAGTGGAAGAGGTTCTGTCTATCTATTTTCTGACTTTTCTGGGGGGGTGTGTAAGCTAAGACACCCAAGTGTTGCTGTAGCAACAAATGGATACCTTCTCCTCTGATTCTGAGATGCTGCTTATACAGTATATTCAACATCACTCACTCATTTACTATCCCTTCTATCCACTTTGACAAATCACCTAATGTCTCTTCACTTGACAGTGTGTATGTTTCTATTTTGTGTGTCCCAATGTGTCAAGAGGAGCCTTTAGGTTTATGTTGCAGTCTGGTTTCCGATTCGATCATGTGTCCCTCATGTTTTCAGACAGCCCAGAGGGGGAGCGTCGCCCCGGTTTCATGATGCCTCTGGGCACCACCAGCACCAAGATGGTTCTGAGAGGGGAGACTCTGGAGCTGGAATGCATTGCTGACGGCTTGTAAGTAGGCTGCATCTATAATCGACACAGAAGAAATGCACCCTTTTTTTTTTGTATCATACAATGTGCTTTATAAGAAGCTGTTATGGTATTCCCATAAAAAGGTGGTATACAAAGTATTTGACGGCACACAAACACACATCCTCTTTGTGTTCCCTTCTGCGACAGACCCACTCCAGAGATCTCCTGGCAGAAGGATGGAGGAGAGCTGCCGAGCAGCAGGATGTCCTTTTATAACTTCAAGAAAACGCTCAAGGTTTCTGATGTGAATGAAGCTGATGGTGGGAACTACCGCTGTACAGCCACAAACAACCTGGGCACTCTACACCACATCATCAAGGTCACTGTCAAAGGTAACCCACTTATCTGCACAGATGCTCATATTTCTGCACCATGAAGCAAAAGGCTCAAAGTTATATTTTTTTTGTCATTCTCTCAAAAATCTTCCTGCGTGTTCCTTTTTGTTGTCATCCACAGCGGCTCCTTTCTGGGTCAGCGCTCCCAGGAACCTGATCCTCGCCCCGAACGAGACCGGCATCCTGACTTGTCGAGTTAATGGAGAACCCAAACCTAAGATTACCTGGTTTGTCAATGGAGTATCCCTAGAGAGTGAGTAAAAAGTCCAAAGAATATCCTACATTTATACACAGTTATGTCCAAAGTACCTGACAGTAGAGAGTATCAATAAACATGCAGAGCTTTAGTGGAACCCCAGCAGGTTCTCCTTCTCAATTGCATGGTACTGGAAAAATAACGTTTTTTCTATGGACCATATTTCCGATCTTTTGTCTCTTAATAGACGCACCTGAGGACCACAGTCGGAAGGTGGATGATGACACTGTGATTCTTAGCAACGTGCAGTCAGGGTCCAGTGCCGTCTACCAGTGCAACGCATCCAATGAATTTGGTTACCTGATGGCAAACGCTTTTGTCAACGTTCTTGGTGAGTTTCTCTATTTTTTTGGGGAATCTATATGAAAGTTGATCAGAAATTTGGGATGTACAGGCCAGTGTGTATGAGGGGGGAAAAGCTCATTTAGATAATGTTTGTGCTTCTTCCCACAGCTGAGCCACCAAGGGTGCTTACTCCACCTAACCGAGTGTACCAGGTCATCACCAACAACCCTGCATTACTTCACTGTGCCTCATTTGGCTCACCGATACCAACTATCACATGGTAAGAGTCAGATCAGATGAATAAAAAGTTTCAAAACCATTTTGAAAAGAGAGGATTTGTCAGGAAACCCAATGTTTGCCATTTTCGTTCAGGTTCAAAGACATTCAGACCAGCGTTAAGAATGGTGACCCTTATGTGATCCATGAAAACGGTACATTGGAGATCCACGTGGCCCAGCCATTAAACAGCGGAAAGTACACCTGCATTGCCACCAACAACTTGGGGATCAAGGAGAACCATGTCTACCTGGAAGTTAAAGGTCAGATATGGATATATATACTACTATAGCTCATAAATAGATATATTTTAGGTCTCTATAATCATTAGGTAATGTGACCATCAAGCTGTATTAATTATTAGTACAAACTCTCTTTTCTCCTGTCGTCCAGAGCCCACACGTATCCTAAAGCAGCCAGAGTACAAGGTGGTGCAGAAAGGAATGAGGGCAGTGTTCGAGTGTAAAGTCAAACACGACCCATCCCTCATTCCCACCATGACATGGCTCAAAGACAATGGAGAGCTGCCTGACGGGAGGTACAAAGACCTTGAGATTCATAAGAGATTCATTTATTTCATTTTAAGACTTATGTTGCACCATGACAAAAAAAGAAAAACAATAATCTATCATCTCTCTGCAATACTCTGTCATCAAGGTTTGAGGTGAACGTGGACAGTCTGACCATCAATGACGTGACCGATGGAGATGAGGGCACCTACACCTGCATCATGAACACCACCCTGGACCAGGACTCAGCCAGTGCAATGCTGACTGTCGTCGGTATGTTCACAGTGTTTTTGTTTTGCGTTCAACAGGTTACCAGAGGTCAGCAACGGTGGGTATCGGTTCTGATCTAATTCAGTGTCGCACTACCACAATGTTTTTCCTGCTTTTCTGCCGTTTCTAATATATGTCACTAACATCTAATCTCTTTTTGTACTCTACTCTTGCTTCTTGCTTTCTCAGAGGCTACTCCTACTCCAGCTATTGTCTACGGTAAACAATGTCCACAGATTAGGGTTTCGTAGCTTTAATTTTCTTTTTCTCCAAAAATCAAGTTCCGTTTGGAAAACCTTCCATTACATCTCAATGTTTATTCTATGTTGGTTGTTCTTTTTGCTGTCTTTTTACCCATTTTATTTTAATTTAGTGTTTCATACAGGGTATGCATTTTTTTAATTGAAAAAGAGTTTTATTTCTTTGGGAAATCCCTGACATTTGTAAAAAATACACAGCCTCCACACACTCATAATTCACCCACACAGGTGTTTTCACCTAACCTGCCTGATTAGACTCCTTCTCAGGTGTTAGTGTTAGGTGCAGGTTAGAATTGATTGCACAGGTCTAATCCGCCTGAAGTGAAAACACCTGTGCTGGTGTGCGTGGTATTAAAATGTTTAATTGCACAAAAAAATACTGCACCTTTTTGATACAATAATAAGAAACAAGGTGTTCTTTTCCAAAAAAAATACAAAATGCCTCCTGTGTTTTATTGAATGAAGATCATAATATTTACTGAACAGTGATATGTTTGTCCACAGCTTAACTCTTTACGCAAATTTCTTTTATTCAATGTGACTTATTAAAGAATTGTGATATTAATCGACAGTATTGATCAAAGTAAATTATCTCTTTTACTGTGAAACTCAGTTTGCAGAATCACATTTCCAGTCGAAACAATTGCAAGGACTTGCTGTAATCAAATAGCAGAGAAAGAGCTTTCATTTTTTTTTTCTGTGGTCCTGGGCTCATTGTTGTGTTTGCAGAGAAACCGGACTCTCCAACTGATTTGGAACTGACTGACCAGACAGAGAGGAGCGTTCAGCTCACCTGGATCCCCGGAGACGAACACAACAGTGCCACACAGAGTATGACATGTTTATCAGACTACACCACACTTTCTCTCTGCCAAACTTGAAATTAGACACTATGGTCCGACTACAGAAACCAAATTTCCCCATTGAAAATACAGTTAAGGTTTCTGGAAGCAGTAACCATGTTTTTTTTGTGAATAAACAAGATAGAAACGGCACAATGAGCAATGAGCCACCGTGGCTAAATATACACAGAATGGAATGAATCATCATCAGTAAGAAATGATTTTTTTCTTCTCCAGAGTTTCTGATCCAATACGAGGATCTGCTCCACCAGCCAGGAGTTTGGATCAACCTGACGGAGGTTGCTGGTACTAGCACCACGGCGCAGTTAAACCTCTCCCCGTACGTCTACTACTCCTTCAGAGTCCTGGCTGTGAATCACGTTGGCTACAGCCAGCCTAGCCAGCCCTCAAGCCAATACAGGACCAACCCTGCCGGTGATTATCATGGTCACAAAAGCACGGCAACATCTAAAATATTGAAAAACATTCTTTTGATTAAACCATCTTTTTTTGGTTTTCCTAGCTCCCGATGAAAATCCATCAGATATTCAATGTGTAGGAACAAAGCCTGGCAACTTGGTCATCTCGTGGACAGTAAGCTATCCTTTTATATTGTTATTGTGGGCTGTTTCAGCACGTTTTTTCAGTAACTGACAAAAACAATCTCTGTACAGTCGTTGACAGGATTTCAGGCTAACGGGCCCGGTCTGGAGTACAAAGTTCAGTGGAGACAGAAGGACATGGATGAGGATTGGTCCTCAAAGAATGTGGCCAACGTTTCACAGTTCGTTGTGTCTGGAACACCTATTTACGTGCCCTACGAGGTCAAGGTTCAAGCTTTGAATGATTATGGCAGCGGCCCTAAGCCTGAAGTGGTGATAGGACACTCTGGAGAAGACTGTGAGTGAATTGATCGCCTTCGAATCTCTGCTTTTGGTTCGGTTTGTTTGTTGTTGTTTTTTTGTCTGTTTGTCAGAGTGATTACGAAAAAAATGCTGGCCCGACTTCTAGGAAACTTGGTGGAAGGCTGAAGAATTGGCCATAAAAGAACCAGTTGAAGTTGGAGCATATCCGAATCATGGAGCGGATACGCAAA